GTGTGTGTGTGTGTGTGTGTGTGTGTGTGTGTGTGTGTGTGTGTGTGTGTATCAGTTCTCCACAGCCTGAGAGCTTTCAGCCTGTTCTGTATCTGGTTTTAAAAGTGCTTATGTGGGTAGCATGCGGGTGGTTGACATGTAATTCGTGGATTCACCATGCCTTCTCATCTCCCCAGCTTCTAGCTTCCACGAGAAGGGACTACGAGAAGATACAGGAGGAGTTGACACGCCTCCAGATTGAAAACGAGGCAGCCAAAGATGAGGTGAAAGAAGTTCTCCAGGCCCTGGAGGAGCTGGCTGTCAATTACGACCAGAAGTCGCAGGAAGTGGAGGACAAGACCAGGGCCAATGAGCAGCTGACGGATGAGCTGGCCCAGAAAACGGTTGGAGCAATAGTGTTAAATGGGGCGGGACTACTTGTTGATAGACTTATATAGGAAGGCAGTTGGCTGAATGCTTATTGCTGTAAGACTCAGATTGCTCTCTGAGGCCTCTCCAACAGTCCCTTCACCACAGACTGCCTGTCACAGCTGTTTCATACCCAGGAAATTGATAACATCAGCAAGAATGCTTTCTGGAAATAGTCAAATGCAGATTCTAGATCCAGAAAAAGCTCAATGAAAAATTTGACTTTCTGACTCTTGGCCCCAGGCAAGATGTTTAAACATCTTGAGTATTCATTGCTTTAACTGTCAGAATGGCAATATTGTGCTTCTTGGGTGGCATGAGTGTTGGTGACAGTTTGTGTAAAGTATTTAGTAAGGACCTGTGTGTGTGTGTGTGTGTGTGACATAGGAATAATCACCAGTGAATAACACTGAAAGCACTGTGTTGAAAAGCAAAGTTGAGGGCCTACAGGAGTTAAGCATTCCATTGCTTGCGTCTTGTTGAATGATCTTGCTCCCCACTACCCACCTTGTCCTAGTTTCATGAGGCCAGGGGAAAGCCTGTTAACTTGCTTCCAGCCAGCATATTGCGGTATTTCTGGTTCTTCCCGGAGAGACGAAAGCTGCGGGTTTTACTTGGTGAGCTAGTGGCAGGCAGCAGGACCAGTGAGCATTCTGTGATATGGCTGATGCCATGGCCTTTGCGGCCTGGAGATGGCTGATGGAGAGGTGGAGTGGCTGCGGCTGCTGCCCTTGATGCCTCTGCCTAATGGCCTGGTGTCCTGGGCTGTGCTATCCCACTGTTCTGAAACATCAGTCCTGGACTCTCAGAGCAGGTGGTGAGGAAAGCGCTGGCTGCTGGCAGTGGAGCAGCCGGAAGTGCAACATGCTCTCCACATCCTACTACATGAGGGAAGAAAGGTCTTCCGAATGGCTTCCCAGAGACAGGACTGCTGTTGCTGTGGTGTTAAAGAAGCTGAAACAACCAGTTGGCTATCTAAGTCACTGGAGAGGCACTCAGAGAGAGCACCTGCTCCCCTTGAGCTCAGGATTTTCCTGGGTTCGTACAGCTGGTCCTTTGTGTTTTGTGCATCTCAAAGCAAGGCAAGATTTTCCACAGCACGCTTCTCATTTTGTGTCTAAGCAACTATTACCAGACTGCTTCAATACACTATTTTTGACGAATTGTAGTGGCTAGGTGCAAATGCCTTTGAATTAACTTGCAAGGCCCGGGGAGTTAGAGAGCTTGCTACCGCATTGGCTGAGTCAGTATGGAGATGTTGGGAGAGGGCTATTCCGTTGCTTTTGGTAACAAACGTGGAGGGTAGAAAAGAAATTAATTTGATGAGGTTTGGTGAGAAAACAGAGCTTTTGCTGTTTATGAAGAAGCTCTGCTGTGGAACTTGAGTCATTTTGCCGAATGACAGTATTTTGGCTTCCGTGCATTAGGAAGATGTTTTAAGTTGTGTTCTATGCTCATTAATGTTCGTCTGGGCTGTTGATTCCAGACCCCATTACTCAGGGATTTGGAAGTGACCCAGGGAGCAGATTGTTGTTTGACCAAGGAGCTGGGGAGCCTGAAGTAGAGCAAGGGGGATGAAACAACACTTGGTGAGTTAGAAAGTGTGACTAAGTACTGTAAACATACTATAAAAAAGTCGACTCTTGTGCCAGCGTGTGCACGTGGACGCCAGAGGTCAGCCTCCAGCACCCTTCCTTGGTGCCGGCCGTCTTGTTTTTTTTGAGACAGTCTCATTCTTCTGGAGCTCGCTGAGTATGCTAGACCGGCTGGGCAGTCGGCCGCAGGACTCCTTCCCAGTCCTGGGTAACAAGTATGCACCACCAGAGCCAGATATTTTTATATAGTTTCCGGGAATCAGACTTAGGTTTTCATGCTTGTTCAGCAAGCACCTTACTTTATTTAATAAAAATCCTTATTATTTTTATTAATTTTGTGTTCGTGCACCATGGTGCATGGTGGAGGCCAGAAGACAGTTTTCTGGATTCATTTCTTTCCTTTACCTACTGAGCTGCCCTCTGGGGCCTGGCTTCAGTTTTAGTAACTCACTGTGCTAACATGGAGATTGCCAACTGAAACATACCTGGTTCTTAAAAGATAACATCTCGGAATTAAGTTCCTCTCTCAGAGAGCCAAGTGCTGAGCAACCTCTGGGCCTTCCAGGTTCACTTACAACTGGGATCAGAGGAATGATCAAAGAGCTGGGTCAGGCGTGGGCGCTCACACTCTGGAGGCCAAGGCCTCAGGTAGGAAATTCACGGGTCGCCTTGATAACTTGCGGTTGATTTTGTTCTCCAGACGACACTGACAACCACACAGCGAGAGCTGAGTCAGCTACAGGAGCTTAGTAACCACCAGAAGAAGAGGGCCACGGAGATCCTGAACCTGCTGCTGAAGGATCTGGGCGAGATCGGCGGGATCATTGGGACCAACGACGTCAAGACTGTGAGCCACACTTCCATTCTCTAGTTCTGCTCCTCTGACTGGCGTGACGTGAGCCAGGCTCTGCGACACCTGAGGCTCGTGGCTCTATTCTGCAAGTGTGGCATGCTGGGAGATCCTTGAAGGCAGGAAAAGAAGAGCCGGGGCATGAATCGGGTGGGATGGAGCAATTTGTCTTTCAGATCCGGGGAGCATCTTCCCGTCCTGGTTGGTTTTGTGCGACTTGTTTTTTTTTGCCTCGGCCTCACTTGCAGTGTCCGTACACTGGGGCTCAGCTGAGGGAAGCTGTTGGCCAGGTCTCAGTTGTCTGCCCCTTAAGAACTTAACGTGGTGAGAATTCTACAGCCAGGGGGTATGAACTGGAAAAGCTTCCAGCTGAAAGTTATAGGCAGCTCACAGTGGCTTAAAGAGTAAACCACACTTAATTATCTGCAACAGGCAAAGCTGGGCGCCTTGTTAGTCGGCGAGGTCTGTATTGCCTGGGGCTAATTAGCAATATAGACCCCAGGCCAGCCGATCTCAGACATACTGAAGTAGAATCTATCTTTTAAACAAGAATCTCCAGGTGACTCATGGCTTACTAAAGTTAGAGAAATGAAATTTGTTTCATTGAAGTGGCTCAGTAATACAGAGGACGAGTCATTCTGCTTTCTTTCTGGCTGTCCCTAGCCTGTCTCAGTTTTATATCTTTAAGCATTTGCTTCATGTAGCAAGATCACTGCTGTAGCACCAATCATCACATCTTTACTCAATCATGCAGTGTGGCCTCAACCCTGACCACTTTTACCCAGGAGGGGACTGTATGCTGGAAATTTCCAGTAGATGGAGCTTATTCTGGCTGGCCAGGTATAGGTCATAAAGGAGAATAATGTTCCCATGAACGGCTTAGACCCTGGAGTTATGCATACTGGTGTTCCTGAAGACAAGGAAGAGAGAAAAGTAGGGAAATATTTAATGGGATAAATGTTGGCTGAAATCAACTGTACGCCTCCGAAGCATACTGTTGCATTGTGTCCTGAGGATGGCGGTCACCCCCAAAGTTCATCCCTCACTCCAGTGCAAGTGCCCCACAGTTCCGATGAGCATAGCACCTTGGCCAGAGTAGTTACTGTGATAGTTGATGACACTGGGCAGGGAACAGGGTTCCTTAACCTGCTGCTCATGAACCTGAGAACAACATCTTTTGAGTGTAAACATTTTACCTCTACCCACTGGTCCTTCAGAGAGAGCTGGCAGTGATTAAACACTGGGAACCCTGCCATCCCCTCTGGGAGAACAGAAAGCAGCTGCTTGGTGCCTCGGGGCTAGGCTCAGCATCTGGGGCATTTCACCTTGCAGCTCAGTGTTTCGTGAGTCCCTGTGAGGGAACGTGTCAGTGTGCAGCACCCTCAGGCCCCGCCGGCTTGGCCGGTCTGTCTGAGGGGCAATTTTTAGAGTCGTATGGTGGTGTTGAGCAGGGCAGTTCTGATGCGGGGCTGATTAAAGGCCTCACACGACAAGGGGGAGCTGATTTATGGGAAGCTGGAGGCTCCTGCTGCCTACCGTAAGGAAAGGTCTTTGTTTGTTTTTTTAAGGAAGGGTCTTTTTAAGCGAAGTTGTAACATGGAGCCGATGAGCAGGCTAGTGAAATCAAAGTGTGTCTGTGCTTTGCCATTAAAGGTCCTTCCTGCCAGAAACCAGAAGTATGACGGGGAGCATTTAAAAATACTTAATTGGATATTTTGAGATTATTTTTAGGTTCCAGACACTGCATGCCCTAGTTAATTCCATTGACGACTCTCTGCGTAGATTGTGGTATTCTCAAAGTCTTGTTCCGTGCTGCACCAATGACAAAAGCTGCAAGTGTTTTCTGCTCAGTGTTCCCATGCTGTTGCATTGTGGGAGGGATGGAACGAGGAGCCATGTTGGGAGGCAAATCTCAGGCACTCACAAACCCAACTTAAGCTTAGCAAGGGCCTCCATGAAGGGGAGTCACGGTTGATAGCTGTAGCTTTCCCCACTGTTAACATGGTATTGTGCTGGAGTCATTGTTAAGTATCGTTGAGTTCTTTCTTTTCTTTTCTTTTTCAGTTTTTTTGAGACAGGGTTTCTCTGTGTAGGCTTGACTAGACCAGGCTGGCTTCAAACTCACAGCGATCCACCTGCCTCTGCCTCCTCGAGTGTTGGGATTACAGGCATGCACCTGTAATTGTTGAATTCTTATAAGGTTAAAATCACAACAGGCATGCAGAACTGTCTACTTCATATATGCTACCAATATATTTAAGGCTCATACCCAATATTGTTTTCTCAGCCCTCAAATGTTTACACAGAAAAATATGTGATGAGATAATGACAGAAGTAATAGCATGAGGAGGAGGGGAAGGGACAGGGGAGGGGCAGTGAGAGGACACTGTGGACGTGAGAATCTAGAGTCAAAAGTCGTTGCCTTCATCTGAAGCTGGCCTTCTTGGGTTAGAAGCTGCCGGGACATAGTCTTCCTAAGGTGCAAGGCTGCTCTCTAGTGGTCAAATATAACACACACAAAGCTACTGTCTTCATGGCTTGGCTTGTGTAGCAGGCATCTCAGCAGATGGGGCTATCCCCAAAACCTCATATATCTGTTTTTTGGTTTCCAGTGGAGCTCTGAAACGTAGAAACCGGATATGTCTCATTCAGAAAAACCTCTCTTCTCAATATAAGTTTAGGATTGTTTTTTTTTACATATCTTAATAAGTAGGTTACCGTGGAAGGGCAGGTGTGAAAAGGCAAAGAGGAAAGAGATTGACAGCAACCGGTAGCTAAGCAGGGAAACCTTCACCAGGAGGAATGAATCGTGCATTCTCAGGCATCAGAGGTTCTGTTGGAAGACTTTGGAGAGAGTCTGTTATGTTCCAGCCATTGCACATGGACATTGGGCTTCTCACCACTGTGGACGGTATAGAGGAAAGAACTAAAATGCTCACTGAGTTTCTGTACAGGTGGGGACACTGGCTCTCACTGTTGTAGACATGCAGGGTAAGGCTCCTGGGAAGGTTTCTCCTTTGCACATTCTTCCATAGTTTCTCTTCCTGTGTCATCCCTTCTATCCTCCAGTCAATTGTAAGGCAATGCATGGATTACTGAGGAGTATATTTGATGATGGCTTTGATGGGAACTTGCTCAGGTGTAGTCTCTGAGGACTTCGTGTTCAGCTTCCCCTGTGAACAGACTTCTTGCCAAAAAGCGAGGGATGTCTCCAGGACCCATAGTCATGTTTCAGGGGGTCCACGAGTTTCTCATGTTCCCTCCTGTGCTCAGCTGGCAGATGTGAACGGAGTCATCGAAGAGGAGTTCACCATGGCACGCCTGTACATCAGCAAAATGAAGTCAGAGGTCAAGTCCCTTGTGAACCGTAGCAAGCAGCTGGAGAGTGCCCAGATGGACTCCAACAGGAAGATGAATGCCAGCGAGAGGGAGCTGGCAGCTTGCCAGTTGCTCATCTCCCAGGTAGGCTGTCTGTCCATCTCTGTTCACACTCATCTATTGGGATCTGTTGCCTCCACGCCCTTCTTGGGACTGATGGTGTGTACTGGATGGAATCTGTGCCTAATTCAGCCTAATGTGAGCGTGGCTTAGGTTATCCCACACACATCCTTCTTTTTGTCTCCTTAAGACAAAAATTTCACTTTGTAGCTCAGATTGACCTTGAACTCATCCTCCTGTCTCAGCCCCACTCCCTCACACCCTGCTTTGAATATGGGCGACAGGTGTGTATTACCTAGGCTGGTCTCTGGGTTTATCCTCAGGGCTAGATTTTGTTGGGTAAATTGCACAAATCCCTCAAGGCTTTCTATCTTCAAAGCATCTATCTCCACTTCTCTGTCCACGCATGGGTGACTATGTAGCTGGGCATATATAATGTCTAAGTCTCTTATCAGCTAAGAAGACATTGCTACACCTGTAAATCCCTACTTTAATTTAAGATGTGCTAATTAGAAACTGCTGTGTTGACGATGGTGACCAGGCGCTGTATCATTGTTTATTCACAAGCACACACAGCACTAAAAATTTCATGTGCATTTTTTGCTTGCTTTTTAAAAACTTCTGTAGGCAGGTTTCATTCCTGTTCGTAAAGATGTGATTGTGATTAAGCATATTTTCCCAATACGTGATGACGGAGCTGAACATAAACCAAAGCTTGTGTCCTGGCTTCCTAAGCTCAGAGCATGTTTTATTCCCATTGGGATGGTGTTTTCATCTCCGGAAGGTGGTTCAGAGGACCATGGTGCAGCTCCGGCTACCCTGACGTCTAAGCTTACTGTTTGGGTTTGAGATTCTGAGATGGTGCCAGGGTGGGTGGGTGGCTCACTGGCTTGTAAAAGAGTCATTTGGGGAAACAGGTACCAGTGTGGACTGGCATGTCTAACAGTATCAAGAGGCAGACAAAAAAAAAAAACATTGTATTATGATACTCCTTTAAACATTAATAACATGCAGTAATAGGTAGAACTCCAATCTAATTGCTGAAAATGGATTCTATGAGTTGTTTTCTAAATTAAGTAAACTATGATTTAAAGGCTTATTCAGTGTTGGTATGTGATGATGAGAAATAACTTAGTAGTCCTTTTGAAAACATTTAGGAAACATAAAACCAGAGAAAAAGTATCTTATGTTTCTGTGTGTGTCTATGTGCACAATGGGAAGGCCAAAGGCTGACTTTGGGCGCGTACCTTCCTCTATCGCTTTCCTCTGTGTTTTCTGAGACAGGATATCTGTTAGTGATACTGACGTGTTGATCGTGTTTTGGCCTAAGTAGCTGGACCACAATGCCCTGGGGCCTGCCTGTCTTTGCTGATCCTCAGTCCTGGGGCTGCAGGCAAATGCCACCACTCTCAGCCTTGATTCTGGGGATTCAGGTGTAGGTCGTGTGTGTAGAACACACTTCTCCTCTCTGTGTAGCTCCCTACCCTGTGAGTGTCTTTTCATCCAGGAATTTTGTGTGTACTGCTTTTCATTGGTAACGGAGATGAAATTTTAAAGTTTCATAAGGTATTATAATTTCCTGATTAAAATAGTAAAAGCTCATGTGGAAACTGTTGGATGCACTATTACTTTACGTTATTATAAAATATGTTATCCAAACACCTGTTGACAGACAAATGATGGAGTTATGTGAAAGAATATTACATAGTACTTATAAAAACTCATAGAACTTGGGCATTTGGAAAGAATAATTATATAAAATTAAGTTAAAATGAAAACACTGAGTTTAATCTATGCCGTTTTATATCTTTGTAAAATATATCTTAATTTGTAAGACAGGGTGGTTTGTAGGTGAAATTCATACTGCATTTTTGCAGATTTGCTCTATATTTTTATAACTATACTGTCATTAGCAACAAGAACTTTTTTGTTTCTTTATCTGCAGCAAGACATTTTTAGAATTTGTAAAACTTGAGGGGAAAAGATAAACATTAAAGAAAGGTACAGCTCAACCCTAGTTTCTAGGTCACCTTTGAGACTATGGCACGAGTTTGGGAGGTACCCGTAATCCCAACAGTTTGGGGCTGAAGTCAGCCACAGGCAGAGCATCCATGGCCAGCAGCCCAGTACTTCCTGTGTCCAGCTGGACATAGCAGCTCCGTGCCCAAATCCCTCCTGCACAGGGCACACCAACATGAATACTCGGATCAGGTCAGCTGTGCCCTGTGCGAGTGAGTGAGGAGGAGACAGTGCAGCCTGCAGAGCTCCTGGATGAGGGCGTGGTTCGAACTGCAGTGCTCAGAGTGGGCCCTCGACGTGCACAGTAGGCTGTGAACTCTGCTCATTGGAGCGAGTGTAGCCAGAGGAAGGTTTAGGAAAACTCACTCTCAAGTGTGGGCTCCTGGCTTCAGAGTGACACTGACTGCTATCTGAGTTAAAATTAGGATGCTGAAAAGTTTGGAAAAATCTTCCTGTGTTGGCACTGAGTGCAGCTTCCCACGGGCCTGCTTTATTCTCTGCTACAGTACAGAGTACAGTACAGTACAGTTCGGCCATTGCTTCTTCTTGGAGGTTTAATGCTAACAGAACCTTGGCGCTTCATTTTCTGGTGTGGTTTAAGGAATCTAACGGTATTTCTCACTGAAATTCTTTCTTCTTTGTGTGTTTCTTCCCCCCCCTCCCAAAAAAAAAAGCTGTTTTTCTCTCTCCTCCAACTGAGTTGCTGAGGAGTTCTATCATCAGAATTCATTCTGCAGGGTCTTCCTGCCTAAACATGAGTCCCCGGATCTAGAGGGAAACAATCTGCAGATTCCATCTGCCCAGAATTCACCATTATGCCTGTTCAGCCAGCTGAGCCCCCGCCCATTTAGTGACTCATCCCACTGGTGTTATTAAGTATCTACTCTATACCCTTATGAGCCAAGGGGGGAAAAAAAAAGAGCTGTAAAAAAAGTCTGAGGCCTGGTAAGAAGCCAGCCAGGACATGTGTGCATGTGTGAACAGTGCTGGCATACAGGGAACTGTTCAGAGAGAGGAACCTTGAGATACAAGATCTCTAGTGACCAGAATCTGTGAATTGTGCGTGAGGGCCAGAAGAAGAGCAGATGTGCTATTTGAATCTACAGGTGCATGTCCAAAGGATGAGGCCTTTAGCTCTGGATGTTTCCTAGCTCCTTCAGCACACATCCTCCCCCTCCTCCTCCTCAGGGTGCTGGGATTGAATCCAGGCAGGTGCTGCAATATTGAGCCACACCATTAGCTGCTCAGCTTTTACCATGAGGAAGGAAACAAGGGTAGGCTTTGGTCTCCACATGAAGGGGAAGAGCACAAGAGACATGGCCAGGCAGGATCTGTGGAGACTAAAGCTGCAGAGTACACGAAAAACAAACAAACAAACAAACAAACAAACAAACAAAAAACCAACCAACCAACCAAACAAACAAACAAAAAAAACCAGAGACCTGCCTTGGTCCCCAATTCTGAGTCGCAGGCAAAGGACAAAGGACAAGCCATTCCATGGTGAGGTCTCTAACTTGTTTTTTCCTATTGGACAGCTCCAGGTGAGCCTAGACCACCACATACTGGGTACTCACCTTTCCTTCCGATCTGTTTTTTTGCTCAAAGCACGAGGCCAAGATCAAATCTCTGACAGACTACATGCAGAACATGGAACAGAAGAGGCGGCAGCTGGAAGAGGCCCAGGACTCACTGAGTGAGGAGCTGGCCAAGCTCCGAGCCCAAGGTAAATATTGACGCCTTCACAGGTGTCAGACACTTGGCCTAAGCCAGGCTCTAGCTGGCTGAGTCCCGATGTTTAGTTTTGTTCAGTCACAGCATTTCTATGTCTGCTGGGAGCCACAGCATTACTGAAAGAAAAAAAAAAGAAAAAAACAAAAACAAAAACGATGCTAGCCCACTGCATATCTACTGCCTTTCCAGCTTCCCTCTGTCCACCCAGCTGACTTGGCCACCATCCTCTTCTTCCAACCCAGTTGGCCTCTAGTCACTCAGTAAAACTTGTCCCTATGCTTGTCAGATGCCTCTCTGCCTCTGCTTGTTTCTGTTGTGACTGCCCTGAAACAACCTAGTTAGGGACTGTGGCTAAGTCAATATGCCGAGGGGTCTCACTGCAGTCTTCTCTGGGCTAGCTACCCTGCCGTATCCCAGCGGTGATTCTGAAAGGCAGATTCTGTCTTCTGTCAGACCCTGTGGATCTTGTCTTGCCATGGAATTCTGAACTTGCATATTTTTTAAACAAGGTTTTCCTTTAGCCACATGGTATCTGACACACAGGAAATGCTTAATAAATGTGAGTAAACAGAGGCAAAAATTAGAGTGACAATCAGAAATGCAAAAACCAGAACAGGGTTTACAAACATTGCCACATGCAGGGTGAGGCCAACCATACATAGTGAAGGCTGAAGTGAAATTTAATTCTTTATAGAGTAGAGCAATTTGAATAACCCTAACAGTTCTGTGTGTCATTTGATCCTTGAATCTTAAGTATTTATTGCAAATTTTTATTTCATATTTTCAAAGATATAGTCTGTGTGTCTGTGTCTGTGTGTGTAGGTGCCACACAGAAGAGGGTGCTAGATGCCCTGTAGGAGAATGATAGGCATTTGTGAGCCACCTGGTCTGGATGCTGAGAACTGAACTCTGTCCTCTGGAAGAACAGCAAATGCTCTTAAATACTGAGCCATCTCCCCAGCCCCTCATCACAGAACTTTAGATTAGAAAAGCAAAATCAGGAATGCAGGGAAGAAGAAAAAAGGAAACCACCCAAATATCTAAAAGTTAATAGAATATTGGTCTTCCTGTTATAGACAAAGCATGCATGTGTGTAGTGATGGTTAAGATGAAGTGTTATAGTCTTTACTGAAGTTATTAAAAATAAATGGATCCTTGTAGTCTTAGAAATTAATATTTAAAGTAAAAAATGCTTTGTTGAGTAGTGGGATTGATGTCGTTATCATTTCACTTCTTTTATCTTCATATAAAGCTCTTTACTGGATAAATACTTGCTGCAAATTAAGGAGAAAGAGCTGTGCCATAGCCTTGTAACATGTTATTTTTGTGGTAAGAAATGAAGATTGAGAGTAGTGTATGCCACCTTAACATTGGGTGAGGGAAAGCTGAATAGAAATACAAACAGGGAGAAATAAAGTAAAACAGACTAGAGAAATAATGAGATAGATGCTACTGTTCAAATGACATTTGCTCCCTGCCTCCATCTCCCCACCTCTCCAGCTCTCTAGCTCAGGGTGCCTTTGCACACATGCTCAGGGAGCCCCACGGAGCGCTGGCAACAGCCCTGCCCACCTGGGGCCCCCTGGTGAATCCAGAAAGTGTTAGAATAGATTCACGTTTCCCTTATTTTCATCTTTAGCTTGTTTCCCTGCTCCAGATTCTTAGAAAATCAACAGCTACTCCTGGGAGGTAAATTAACTCCTTGTGGAGTTCTGCCAGTGACATGAACCCAGATGTTACCTCCCCCTCACAGGAGGTTTATAATCTGTGAGGCATGATCATGCCCGCACCCTCAGGGCCGGCTCCCAGAGGCCGAGTGAAAAGCGGTGCTAGGGCCATCTGCTTCTAGTTAGCTTCTTCCTTTCCTTGGTGCTCTCCCGGGGTTGCAGTCCACCTGGGGTCCCCAGCACCAGCCCAGGCCACAAGAGAGGTCAGCTGGAGGTGTCGGTGCTTTGACAGAGGCTTCCCCCGCCCCTGCATGCCATCACTGGTGGCTGGTGTTTGCCCTGTGTCGTCATGGTTTTGTTTTCTGAGTTTTTGCTTTGGGTACGAGTCCTGGTAGTTAAAACTTAAGTCGCTTTTACAACCTGAAACAGAAAAAATGCATGAAGTCAGTTTTCAAGATAAGGAAAAGGAGCACCTGACAAGACTTCAGGACGCCGAGGAGATGAAGGTGAGTCTGAGTGTACTTCATGTGCACACATCTGGCACAGTCTGTCCTCAGACCAGTGCCTGTCAGGGTAAGGCAGAGAGGAGAGGAACCACAGCTGGGTCTTCAGAGCAGCCCCCTTGGAGCCTGATGGGACTTTTCAGGAAACCAGAAACGTCTGTGAATACAGTTAGGTTGCCTTGATGTCTTTGTGTTTCCTGTTCCCGAGGAGTAAGTCACTTGTCTGGGGTTACTCAGATAGAAGGAGAAATGTGTGTCCTGACTGGCCTGGCCGGCAAAGCCCTGTAGCTCGGTGAGTGGTAGAAGGGCAAGGGCGAAGTTTCTCTGCAGTTACGGAGCCGGTTGCCTCTAGGGCCCTCTCAGTTTTATGACAGATCTGTGGGCTTTGCTGTGCTGATGAAGGAAGGCCAGGAGCTAGGGCACAAGAGCTAGAAACACTCTTCCTTTGGGGTTTTAACGTCTAAGGGAGGTTAGACATGGATCCAGCGCTTGTCACTGAGTGGGCAAAGCGCTGACAAACTGACGCCACATTTCTCCTGGCCTGGCTTGCAGAAGGCTCTGGAGCAGCAGATGGAGAGTCACCGGGAAGCACACCAGAAGCAGCTGTCCAGACTTCGCGACGAGATTGAGGAGAAGCAGAGAATCATTGACGAGATTCGGGAGTGAGTTGGCTAGGGGCTCGTGGGACATGGGCATGCTCAGGCCTTGTAAGCCAGACTTAAAGGACATGGCTTTTGGCCAGGGCCCCTTGTCTCCTTGTGCCTGGGCTCTGTGCTCTGCCCAGGTGGTGCTACCTCTGAAGTCTGTTCTCCCATCTGGAGCTCAGCCTGCTTGGGCTCTAGTATAGCGGTGGCAGACAGGCCTAGCCACCCCTTTGCATCACCCCAACCTGGGGCAGGATCAGCTCAGCGGAGACTCGACTTGGAAGATACATATCCAGGAGCCAGACAGACTATATGAAAGTATGAACAGAAAAAAAGGCTATTTCTCTCCAGAGAAGCCATTTGGCATCGCTGCCTCTTTAGCCCAGCAATAATGTACCTATAATCATTTAGTCACTTGTGTGCACATCTCCGAGACATATGCCAGTATGTGTCTGTGCATGGTAGATGTCACTCTACGGTGCCCCTGCTACCATATGGCATCGTGGTAGCTTCACTATGCCTTCTCAGAGTCTTTGGGGAATCCCCTGCTCCAGAGCACCCTTTCCTTTTCTGTGGCACAAATTCCCTAGCTACAAAGCTCCCTTCTGGGAGGGGGCGATCTTATTCTGGGGGCTGTTTATGAGCTTGACATAGTAGATCTCCCTGGGAGTCCCTGAACCCCTTTGTAGAGCAGCCTTTTAAGTGCTCCCCTAAAAGGCATGCATTACAAAGACAACATGTCTACTGAAACAGAATTTCACCTACTGCCCCTCCTCCAACTAGGGCAAGCTCCCCCCCACTCCCCCAACCCCTGTCACTCCCACTGCCACTTTCTATAGATGAAGAATTAGATATGGGAAGCAAGGTTGAATTATTTACTTAAGGTCACACAGCTAAATAGGAATCAGACTGGAGCTAAGCGTTTAATTCTCCAGGCTACTGATCCAAATCTTTTCAGAGTATGTGAGCTGCTTGCAAGTGCATTTGCATCTTGAGGGAGAAGGGGGAGAGAAGCAGGAGTCTAGGTGATGTGCTGGATCTGTGGAGTCTGCCTAAGGACAGGCCTCAGCATGCCCTCCTCTCCTCCTTCTGCTCCTGCTCTATTCAGACACACCTTGAGCTTCTCCTGGATATGACTCTGATTAATCCCTCTCAAAACAGGCTGCTAAAAGAGAAGGAAGAAGGAAAAGGCAGATAGAGAACATCAGTGCATGAGTTTTTAGACGGGGAGCTTTGTGGGCTTGGGCTCGCGGGTGCTCCTGGCTTCCTTCACAGAGTCCTGTGGTCCCAGCCTCATACGTGGTTTTATGAGCACTGACATGGTACAGAAGTGGACTAGACACTCCTGTCTTAGAGTTTCTATTCTTATGATAAAGCATCGTGACCAAGGTCAACTGGGGGAGGAAAGGATTTACTTCAACTTAACAGTGAACAGTTCACCGTCAGGGAAGTCAGGTCAGGAACTTAAGACAGAGGCCATGGAGGGATGCTGCCTGCTGGCTTGCTCCTCATGGCTGCTCAGCCTGCTTTCTTAGAGCACCCAGGACCACCAGCCCAGGGATGGCACCTCCCCCGTGAGCCAGTCCCTCCCACGTCAGTCATCAATTAAAAAACAAACAAACAAACAAACAAGCAAAAACCACTACAGACTTGCCCACAGGCAGGCCTTACAGAGGCAGTTCCTCAGCTGAAAGCACCTCTTCCCAAATGCCTTTAGCTCCTGTCAAATTGACATAAATTTGACCACCACAACCAGATGATGACTTTTCTTTCTGCACAAAACCTGAGCAGTGTTCTTCCTAAGGTCTGTGTGAATGTTCTCCGGACCAAGGGACTGCTCCTCCCCGCCCCCCATTGGCTGTTGTCCTCAGAAAGCGCTTCCAATACCTGGGGGGAGGGGGGTTAAAATGGCCAAATAGTTACCTGAGTAAACAGCTATTCTCTGGATGGTTACAGCAGCAGAACTTGTAACACACTCTTTCTCTCTCTCTCTCTCTCTCTCTCTCTCTCTCTCTCTTCCTCTCTCCTTCTTTCTAAGCATCACCTTTTCCTCAATGTCATTACATCCCTACAGAAGCCCTTGCACACAAACAAACTATAAATACCCCCTCAAAGCCTTTGTTTCATTTCATGCTTCCTAGCTGCTCCCCAGAAATTAGTTTTCACTTGGGCAGAGAAGAAGCTGTGAGGTTGTTCTCTGATCCCTCAAAATCCTCCCGAATTGCTGCCTTTATTGCACAGAACTAATGGGGCTGGAACAGAACCAGGGCTTTAGGCGGATGACTCACGTGTTCAAGCTGGTCTGGAATATATTGGTTTTTCCTCTCAATTTCAGTTTGAATCAGAAGCTGCAACTGGAACAGGAGAGGCTCAGCTCTGATTATAACAAGCTGAAAATAGAGGACCAGGAGAGAGAAGTGAAGCTGGAGAAGCTCCTGTGAGTGCTGTAAACCGACTTCTCATCCTTGGGGGGCCTGAGAACCAGCCCCTGTGCTGGATCCCATAGGATCTAGGTAGGTCCAGCTGTGCTAGAGCCCAGAGGTTCTGGCCAGGTCCAGCTGTGGTGCTGGAGCCCAGAGGTTCTGGCCAGGTCCACCTGTTTAAAGTAGCAGTGACTGTCTGTTCTCTGCACAGCCTTGTTCATTTCCCTTAGGTGCAAATTGCATCTGTCCCGATTCTGGTTCTCGCTTGGTGGTTCATGATTCCTTCCTGTCTCCCAGGTTGCTCAATGATAAAAGGGAACAAGCCAGGGAGGACCTCAAGGGACTGGAGGAGACTGTGGTGAGTCAGTTCCCAAATCAGCTCACTCTCAGAGGCCTGACTTGCTTGTGATCTACTGAGTTGTTATTCTAAAATTTTATCTGTGCACACCTTTCCTGCATAGCTTTTAGACACAAAGCATTCTGTTTCAGATGGGGATTTGTAGAAATCACTTTTAGCAGAACTAATTCATTGATTGATTAGTCAGGCATTTGTCCCATAATCCTGAAACACTTGAGAGCACCAAATACTAACCACAGGACCACGAGGGAGCATCAACACTTGAATTAAGAATTGAACTCCATTGTAGACCAGTCTCTGCCCTTTGAGACTCCACTCAACTTTCAACAGATATTTAGCAAGCACCCACGGAGGCTGACACTTGTCTAGAGGCTTGGGTATATCAGTACAGAGGTTAGGGAAGCCTGTCCTCTAGAAACTGACCTTGACAAAGTGAGCTGAGGGGAAGAATATTCCACGAGCAATTACCTGTGGCATGTGGTGGTGATGGAGACATCAGTGTGTGACTCCATGAAAGAGTAGAGGGCAGACACAAGAGGACAGCGCCGGAGCAGGTGCCTCGCAGGAGGGCTAGAAAGAAGAGCAGGAGACCCCGCATGCCTCTGGAAGGGTTCACTATTTGAAATTGCTTTTGGGTTTCTCTGTGCTGTGCCTACAGCTACTGGCTTCCTCTGCCAGCCTTGGTTTCAGTGGCTATGCAGGACAGCAGTACATAGTCACAGTTCATAGCTGTGGCTTATCACAGACTGTCTGACAGCATGATCTGGTGAAAACGTGTTTTGGCTTGCCCATGTTTAAATTCATCGGCACCTTCTGATCCCACTCATGGGTCATGTGAGGCTATGTGGGACAGAGCCCGTCCCCAGCAACCTAGGGACTCAGGCTGTGGGCAGATGGCTACTCCCATCTGGAACTGAAGCTGCATGCTGGCTCCTGGGCCAGCACATGCTGCTCCTCAGAGGAATGAGGACACGAGCCTTTGGGACAGGGGTCAAAGGCCTGTGCCGACAGGAAGTTGGACCTTTCAAGGGTGAAGTCTATAGGGAAAATAGACTCAAAACCATGAGATTGCTTCATCTACATAGTTTAATAAAACAGTGCAGCCCATAACTGAATGTTCTTACAGAATTGCAGGAAAATGTTGAACATTGAATTTCACTAGATTCCTGCCATTGGGGATGTGTGATAATTCGGATTATTCTCTTCTTGCACCGCTGTGCAGCCATGGATGAAGACCATGTCCCCTTGTTTACTTTCAATTTCTCTGCTGTGCTCACACACACCTTGCCCATGTATTTGCACATACAAATTGTCATCATACCACACACTCACTTTCACAGCATCTTCTGGGCCTGGCCACATGTCCTGATTGTCCATTTGATGTTCATATTTGTTCCTAGACACTTACAAGTGCATCATCTCACTAACGATTTTTCTCATTCGAACACATTTTGTTCATTCACACAAGTTGTGTACTTGAAACTCACACTTGCCTTCTCTCATTCCTCACAGACCAATATGCACAAATGCTCAGTAAACTCAGACATGTGCACATTCAATCAGAGTCACAGCTCACCCTCACATAGTCACTCTCATGGGTCCTTTCTCTCTCACACACATGCTCACACATACACACATTCTCTCTCTCACACACAGTCCTTTTCTCTCACACGTACTTTTTCTCTCTCAAACACACACATCACACATAATTCTCTCTCATGCACACAATCTCTCCCTCACACACAACACTCTCCACTCCTCTTATATCCACATACACCTCTTCTTTCTCCCACTCACAAGCTTCCTTGTCCCTATCCCTGCAAACATAATCAATGAAGGATTAGTTGCCAGTTCCTTTGCCTCTTAGGTGCTTGAATATGTATTAAATGGCATGTTTTCCCGGTAGCCTCTATCATATCCTCAATTATTTTCTCTCCTTCCCTCCCCCAAGCTCATTTCTTAGTAATCTGGCTGTGCCTACACAGGCTTGCTCTCTCACAAACTGTCCCCCCTTACACACGTGTCCATCCCTCCCCCACACAAGGACAGCCCCCCTAACATGGTGGCTCCTCTTCCTCTTTTCCTTTTCCCCGCCACCTCCACTCCCCTTCCATTAAATCCAAGACTGGATTCCTGCAGTGTGTGCTGTTTTGGACTTGAAAATTTGCCCTCAGCCTTGAACTTCTTCTAAGCTGAGCTGTAGATATCCTTCAGAGACAGGCTTTTGCTGTCCTTGGCTGTCCATTGTGTCCTCAAGGCCCTGGCGTGCAAGCCTGAGTGCTGAATCTTGCTGCAGACTGGCCATCCGTGGTGTTCTTTGGCTCACGGCAAGACACAGCCCACTTCCGCTAGATCCCACCTCACGCCATACTGACCACCTCTGTAGTGCCATCCTCCACCATGATAGAAAGCTTGCCCCAGAACTCTCACATGGGGTGGAGTGGGGGTGGAAGTAGCCTTTGATGGCAAAAGAACTGAGGCCAGTTAGAGGTTGGAGAAATGATTGTGAATGTGATTGCAGCAAGAAGCCAAGTAACAGCTGCGCAAGCATCGATGTACGGCAGTATAAAGCATCTAACATGCCTTTGACTGCCCAGCCAGACTGTGAACATTGAGAGAAAGGGGCCAGCCAGCTCTTTGTTGTATTTATGTCCTGAGGAGAGGTCTGGCATCTGGGCAGGGTGTCAAGCCTTCTTCCATCCTTTTAGTGTCCTCGTGCTTTTCACTGGAAGATAGTAACTGTGATGACAGTGTAGGCAGAAACCAGAGATCTGAGGCCGAGGGCAGATGCAGGGCATTTGCAAACATTAAGGGATGCTGGGACTGAACTCCCTGCAGCAGGGGTGTAGGGCAGCCTGGAGAGTGGCGAGCACTCTCTGCACCCCTTCCGAGGCCGTGAGGCAGCTCACTGGTACCGTGGGCATGGTATTCATAATACCAGACCTGTTTGGCTTCCTGCAGAAAGCGACTTACCTCATCCAAGGATGCAAAGGACTTTAGGTGCTTTTTACTTCAACACAGAATTGAACCTAATAATAAGACCTTAAATTATACAGAATCTTATTCCAAGAAAACCGTTTCCTTAACTCGGGGTCCTGTTTCTACCTTTTGAATGTAAGCCCCTGTAAGTTTCATCCCCGACATCTGTCAATTTTTATAGGTGAAAACATTGAAAAGAGTCTCCTCTTTGCTTCTAAGGAAATAATTTACATGAAATGAACATCTCTTGTAGAAAACATAGGAAAAGCCAGGTTGGAAAAGACAGGTCAGTAGCTAAGAGCACTTACTACTTTTGTAGAAGACGTGAGCTCAGTTTCCAGCACCCACCCAGGGTAACACATAACCACCTATAATTTCAGCTTCAGAGGATCCAATGCCCTCTTCTCAAATCTTCCAAAACCTGCATTCATGTGTGGAATGCATTCATGTTTGCGCATGCACAAACAGGAAATAAATCTTGAAAACAATAGGTGTGGCAGTGCTATAGCGGTGGACATCTTTAACCTGAGCACGTGAGAGACAAAGGCAGGAAGATCTCTATGAGTTCGAGGCCATCCTGGTCTATATAATGAATTCAAGACCAATCAGAGCTTCAGAAAATAAGACCCTGACTAAAATTTATGTATATAAATTACACACACACACATACACACACACACACATGCACACGCACACACACACAAACACATATGTTTATGTATGTGTGGAGACAAAAACTTGAATGGAATAAAATGCTTTGATCTTCTTGTTTTGTTAGCGAAGATCACCAGGTTTGGTTCTAGCCCTTGTCTCATCACTCTTATCTTTCAGTGTTCATAGAAAATAATCCAAAATGAAGGAGGGAATTGCCAGCTCTTGGGATATGGACTCATATTAGCCATAGTACTGACCGCTTACTGAGTCCAGAAATTGTGTAAAAGCTTTCTAGATCTTCTTGTTTGGCCTTGATGCCAGTGAGTCAAATTCTCTTCGCCTTCACCTTAAAAATGAGAGAACACACAGGACGTTCAGGTGACTTGCCCAGGGCTACCAGATGGAGAGTCTGAGAAGAGCCTCATTTATAGTGTGAGGCAGACATTCTTGTGGGTTAGTGCAGAGGTTGGGTGCAGAATCACGGAAAAAGGACAGCCAGTTTAGGTGAGAGAAACCATGGTTACTTTTTAATTTAGTTTGTTGCTATGACATGTCGTGTTTAGGTAGGAAGTAAATAAAAACAGGAGACCCCCATTCTGGCAGGTACCTTACTAGGCATTTTTGTTTGCCTCCCTTGAGAGTAGAGTACAGGAACTGGCTGTGTGTTCTGGCTCACAGCCAGTAGTTGAAGCCCCTGGGCTCCTGCACCCAATAGCAGTATGACTTGAAGAGAGGGATGGGCACAGATGGTACCTTGGCACCAACAGTATCAATGGCAGCTCCAGCAGCAAAGTAACACCATCAGGGGGGCTAGTGACCTCTAGAGCAAATGCAACAGCACTTCAGTCTGTCACCTCGCTGACGCTGCATGTGAAAAATCTCTTCCAGTCTAGAGAACTCCAGACCCTTCACAACCTGCGGAAACTCTTCGTCCAGGATTTGACCACCCGGGTGAAAAAGGTGAGTCCTGTCATTTCTGCACAGGTTGAGGAGAAAAGTCAAGGCCATGAGGCATCATCTTCAGCTGAAGTATCACTTGCTCAAATTAAGGCTGGTTATGCTTAAAAATTAATTGCCTCATGCCAGAGAATGTTATTAAAAGAATGTGCTTGGGGCTGAAATTACTTGGGAATATTTTACCATCTGATTTTCCTTCTCAGCAAAAGGCAGTTATAATGCTGTTCCCAACTGGCCTTTACTTAAGATGACACATATTTATTTATCTGGCCCTGCTGTGTGAAAGTCGCTGCTTTGGGCCAGAAAAGTCTGGAACATTCTTGTCAGAAGACAGCATGGTCCCAGAATCTACAGAAGTGAGGTGGCCAGAGCCTCATGTCTGTCTGTGGAGTGTGCGGGTTGTGTTAGTATTGACTTTGTACTTGTTTACCCCAGACTCCACGGGAGGTTCTGGCCTCCCTGAATTGCAGGTGTGGATTTGGGTGTATTTACAGGGCTGAAGAGAGTCGGGCATAACTGGACAAACTCTCAGAATCCTGGGAGATTGTCAAAACCTCGGGTGAGGACCACAGTCTAACAAAGCACCAGGGCGGAGGATGAGGCCAACCTAGATGTGATGGGCAGGAAGGGCACCTGATGAGAGCTTGTGACAACAATGAAGAAGACTCCTGTTGTTGGAGGAGAGGGGGGGATGGAGTGCTGGCCCTGATTTCATTTTATAAAACTTCCTAAGGATGACCTACTTTTAGACCTCCAGCCTGTAGGCCTCTGGCAACTGCATCGGCCTCACTCGGGAATTTGTTCAACTACATAAACACACCCCAGATCTGAGAAGTCAGAGACAGGGGTGGGCTCAGCAGTCTGAGTTTTAGTAAGTGTCCTGGGGCTCTTGATGTACATTCATGCCTGAGAGTTCCTGTTTGGGGCTGAATTGATGGTAGAAAGCATTTCCCTGCTGGAGAAGGGTGATTTCTCCCACTGTCACACCAGACAGACGTGTTTTGCTATTTCTGAACTTCAGGCTGTGTTTCCACATGCATTTCCTAATTTATCTGCGGCACCTTGCTTGTCAAGCTGTGGTACTGTTGCCAGTCTGAAGATCTGATAAGTCTGAAGGATTTTCCCAGCACCTGGATGCCGTGCGGAGGCTGAGACTGAGTCACTGAGGAGCTGCATAGCTTTGGGTGTTTAAGAGACAAGCAGAAGCCATTAGGATTTCCCAGTGGCAGCAGTGACTGTGGCTGACAGGCTTGGTAATTTCTCATCTGATCCTGATGGCTAAACTAAACTTGAGTCTCATGCTTATTTTCACCCTGATTCTTCTTAATAAGGTGTGAACACTTTCTTTTGAAAAGAGAAATCTCTTTACCTGCAGGGAAGATGTACATTTCATTAGAGAGAAATGTGTGCAGCATACAAAAGCAGATCTGAAGGTATCCTTATTCCAACACTCTGAAATAACTCTTCCTCACAACAGTTCAGTGGAAGCCAAGGAAATGTATCGGGAAGCCCACGGAGTAGAAACTTTTACAGCATCTCTTTATTTTCCCGTGGGATTGTGGATTTTTCTTTTTCAAGGCGTTAATGTATTGCGAACATGTTGTAGGTGAGTGGGGAAGCAGCTCATGCCACTAACTGTCTTTTGTGGCTACAGAGTGTGGAACTGGACAGCGACGATGGAGGGGGTAGTGCTGCCCAGAAGCAGAAGATCTCCTTCCTGGAGAACAACCTGGAGCAGCTTACCAAGGTGCACAAGCAGGTCAGTGAGCTCATTGCACACGCGCGCGCGTGCGCAAACACCCACACACCCGCCACTTCTGCTCTCTCTCGGCCATAGCCTGGCCTGGTCCGCTGCAACACAGAACAGTTCTGATATTGGATGTCTGTACGTGGTCAAAGAACCTGTGTACTGGAAAAAAAAAATGCTGGTCCTTAGAAATCCCTGGATCTTGGCAGGAATGGTGGCATGTACCTGTATTCCTGGCTACTAAAGAGGGGGAGGATCAATCAAGTTTAGGTGCTTAAGACCAGCCTGGGCACCATATTAAGACCCTGTCTCAAAGTGACCAGCAGAGGTAGATCTAGGAGGAGTTAGGGCAAGGAGTGAGGAGTAGACATGATCAAAATACATTGTACAGTTTCTAAAAGCATTAGTAAACAAAACAGAAAAATAAAGCCCCATTCCTGTAGCCTTAGTAAATTTCTTTATATATGAAAAACTTCCTTTGGCTAACAAGATGGCTCATTACATAGTTGCGTGCTGTGTTCTTGATGATCTGATTTTGATCCCCAGAACCCACAGAGTAAGGAGAGAAAACTGACTTCTGTGCGCTGTCCTCTGACCTCTACATATGTGCCATAGAACATATATGCCCGCACATACACAATGAGACAAGAATATATATATATATATATATATATCATATATATACTTATATATGATATATATATATATCATATATAAGTATGTGTGTGTGTGTGTGTGTCTTTACATACATATATATAGAGACACACACACATATATATGAGAGAGAGAGAGAAAGCCTGACTTTCTTTGATGGAATCCATTTATAGAGAAGGAAAGAGGAGCTCTCTAGGACTTAGAGAGAGTAAAGTGTTGAGACTTATGTTTCCATCTTGCTTTCATTCCACGTTTGGATTCTGACTAGCCTTGTGCTCTCCCATGATATGTCTGAGGCATCTTTGTAGAACTGAGGTCTCCATAGAGTTCATGTGCTGAGCAAGCTTGTTCCGGTCCCTTATTTTATGGCTAAGGAGACATTGCTTCATTTCATAGATGGTATGGCGTTTAAATGAGAATGGCTCACTTAGTCTCATATATTTGAATGCCTAGTCATTTGGGAGGGACACTATTTGAAGGATTAGAAAGATTAGGAAGTGTGGCCTTGTTAGTGTAGGTGTGGCCTTGTTGATGAAAGCGTGTTACTGGGGTGACCTTTGAGGTTTCAGAAGCCCATGCCAGGCCTAAGCTTTCTTCTGATGCCTGTGGATCAGGATGTAGAACTCACAGATACTTTTGCAGCATCCTGTCTGCCTCCATCATGACTATAATGGACTAACATCTGAAACTGGAAGCAAGGCCCAGTTAAACACTTTCTTTTATAAGAGTTGCAGTCATCATGGTGTCTCTTCACATGAATAGAAAAGTGACTAATGCAGGTGGGAACCCAGAGACAGGCATTAGCAACCTCTGAGATCTGTTCTCCTCATCCTGCCTTGTCCATCTTGGGTGTCTCCTAGGATCATTGTCCTGATATCTGTCCAGAGTGACAGTGAGGAGTAAGTATGTTCAGTATACCAGTGTTTTAGGCAGGCTGTTTGCCTCCCTTCTTTTCTATAAATGCCTGTATGTCTGTGATTCTTTCCAAGATTTGATATGGAGTACAGATGGTCTAACTCTTCAGGCCACAAGGCTGAGGGCATATCACTTCTCTTTGACTTGTTAGATTTGTTTCTGTAGGGCTGATGATGACATTTTCTCCAGAAAGAAGATGGGAGATCAACATAGTGAAATCATTCAAGCAAACTGATAATGAGAAATGCAGAAGCAAAGACTGCTAGGCATCTTGAAATCTGGCTCTGCAACTCATTATTTTATTCATGAATTCAAGGACTATTTATTAAAAGCCCAGTCTGCCAGGCATGGAGCTGCTGCTGGCATAAGCAAAATAGGTCAGAAAAGCAGTAGCTTGCTTTGATAATACTTCTTCTGATTTTTGATCTTTTCCCTGATCCATGCACATCCCTGGGCTCCAGCCATGCCAGCAAGCTAGGTTGGGCAGGTCCCAGGCAAGCTGATCCACAGTGCCGCACAGCCTCTCCTTCATGATGATTGCTCTCATCTTGGGGTGGTACAGCCTGCAAACTTGCCTGTTACTTGGTGATAATGTCAGTTCTTGTCACAAAGGTATTTATGTATCAAGCCTGCTGTTCTTGGAACCCAGGGTAATTCAAGAGAAGCGATTAAGGACAATGACTTACCTCTGTGTCCTCAGCTTTGAGACAAGTTAGGGAGGGGGGAGAAAAGCAGGAGTCTGATCCAAAGGAAAGAGACAGATAAAACTATGCCAGACTCTCATCCTGCTTTTTTAGTATTTCATAAACTTTGTATCACTTACATTTCTCATCCTTGTGACCAAACACCTAACAAGAAACAGCTTTAAAGAAAAGAGATTTGTTCTAACTCTCAATTTGAAAGTACAATCCTTCATGGCAAGGAATATATGGACACAGGATTAGCTAACAGTTGTGGGGTATTACTAGAGTTTGCAAGGTACAAGCCTGGACCTTTGATCCTAACAAGCTAAGCTCAGCCACTGTCATCAATAATACCAATTAAAATGACGAGTCATGAAAGACAGAGAGAGATTTATCCAGTGTGGTCACATTGGGATGAGGAACAAGCACAGAGGCCCAGTGACCCCTCGAGTATGTGTCTTTGGACTTACAGGTTTAGGTTTTAGTGAAAGGCAAGAGAGATGTATAACTAAGCCGCCCTAGTTAAGGTATTGGTCCCACCCATCACTGACACCCTGTCTCTGTCTCTGCTGCTGGTATTGTCTTGAAAATTATTAAAACTGTGTAAAATCTCTACCTGAGAAACAAGATCCTCCTCTGAGCAGCATCTGGCTTTCAGTCTTTCCATTTCCCCAGCATGAAATTTCTGGAGAAATTCTAAATTCTTGGGGAGCTTTGCCTCAATAGTCTAGTAACCAAAAGAAGGGATACAAGCATCTCTCTTAGGTCTTCACCCCTGCCAGGATGGCTACATGGGAAGGAATTTGCTCACCATCAGGCAGATCAAGAGATGAGAGTTGAATGTTGATGCTCATCAGGCCCTCTCTTTTTTACTTTTCCCTCAGTCCAGGCTCCTGTAGGATGATGACACCCACCATTCAGGGTGGGTCTTCCCACTCTCGGGAAACTGTCAAAGATACACATAGCTCTATGATTACAAAGACAGTCAAGTTGGCAGCATCTACATCACTCAGCTGACCACCCAAAGAGATCAATTTTATCTTGTTTCTTCATTTATTTTTGTTTTATGTGAATGGGTGTCTTGCTTGCCTGTATGTCTATGCCCTGTGTACGTACCTGTTGCCCAAGGAAGCCAGAAGGTACCAGATCCCCTGAAACTGGAGTTACAGACACTATGAACCACTATGTGGGTGCCAGGAATTTAAACACTATGGGAGTGCAAGAATTTAAACACTGAACCATCCCTACAGTCCCCTGATCACCTTTAAAGCAAAGCATTACATCCCTGGTCCTTAAACATTCCTAGCCATCTTATGATACAAATTGTAATCAGTTCATCTCCAGGAATCCCCTAAGTCACATATTTTGAAAGCCCAAGTTTGGAGTCTGCCCTGAGACTCAAGGTATTTTAACTGTGATCATCTGCAGAGGGAAAGAACAAAACAAACGACAGTACATGTGTTTCTAATATGCAGTGGCACAGGATAAATATTCCTAAAAGGAAGAAACAGTAGGAACCCAGCAGAGCAAACAACAAATGCTGTTGCTCCATATCCAGTATCTTGGTTTTGTGATAACACTTCTCTGCTCCAGTGGGCTTGTGTAGTCCCACCCCTCAGGCTCTGTTGCCATGGATACATGTGCATGTGCTCTCTCTCTTCCCTTCCCTCCCTCTCCTCAGTACCAGCACATTTCTAGATTTCCAACATCCGCATCTACATTGCGACTTGGGCTTCACCTTCAAAGCCCAAGTTCCATGCAGGTAATACATGTTGCCTTAGTGGCTTTTTGGAACACTGATGCAAGCGTCTATGACATCTGCCCCACTTTTGGATGCTACATGCCTTCAAAATCAGTATGATGCGAGTGATACAGAGTTATGCCATCCACTCAAAATGTAGCCTTGCCCCTTTGGACCATGGCTATGGTGGTGTTTGTGCGTTTTCCAGAGTGAGCCTGAAAAAAGCACTTCCCTAGGTGGCCCTACCTGAGCGGTATGCCCTAAAAGCTGTTTTCGTTCAACTACTCGCTTTTCAAAGGAAAGTTTTTCAAACACATTTGTGTTGTTGACTTTGGTGCTCAGGGGTGGGGTGGGAGGATCTTCCCCTTAAAGCAACTTTTTTATAGTCCCAGTTGCAGTGTTTGAAGTTTCTCTTTAATGGCCTTTATCTCTTTAACAGCTATAGCCATCTTGTCCACACCAATATCAAGCTCACCCTGGCCCCTTTCCTTGCCAAAATTTAATATTTTATATCCTTTTGCTCCTTTTCACCATAAATATGACCAAGAACAATATGCAATAACCATGCCACAGCCTGAATGTTATACTATCTTGAAATTTTCTCCTCAAATTATTTTATTACCTTTTAATTTAGCTCTGCTCAGAATTTCAGGGCAGAGATAGAATACAGCTAGATTTCTTTTTTCTATTTGCCAGCATATAACAAAAATGGTCTCTAGTTCAGTTCATACACAGACAATTACTCATGTCACTTCATGAAGCCTAGCCTTCACTGTCCTCCTTTCTGTTGATATACTCCAAACCCCCACCAGACTAGTCTACTAAGCTCTGCTTATGGTACCAGAAGGCCCCTCCAACCTTCAGGTCCACTGCAGGGCTCTTCCACAGTCCTCCCATAAACTCTCCCCAGCCTATGGAATGGCTCTATCCACACTCATAATATGTCTTTGCTCTGTTAAACCTCTCTGGAAATGTCCACAGAGACACATAACTTACCTTGTTGTGACTCTAAATTGGGTCATGTTGACAGTGATGATTACCACAACATTCAAGTGAAGACTCAATACTTTCTACTGGAACGGTTTCTAAGCGACTGTCTCATGGTGGCCCTTTTGTTTTGTATGTGCAACACAAAGATTTGGAGAGGCTCAGCTACTTCCCCAAGTCAGGTGGCAGGAAATGATGGCACTGGCATTGGAGCCTACCGTTCACCTAGGGTCAACCTGTTATTTCTTGATTATGGGTCCTAAGTGAAGAGGAGCAAACAGTCTCCTCCTGTTTCCTGTGAGCCTCTGGTATGTTGCGGAGCTGGGCTTCAACTCAGCGCCAGTATAGACAGTGGTCTGCAAGGTCTTCTGAGAACTCTGGAACGTGCCCGTCGACTGACTTGAAATTTCTCAGCTCATGCGTACATCCTAGAGTAATAAATTCTTCACAGCCCCTTCCTCTTCCAAACACACTCAAACAAAAGAGAGAGCAAGTCTTGTCCAAGAAAAATCCCTGCCCTGTGGCTGAATATGGCTTCTATGTTTATGCATCGCCCCCGTTACTGCTCCAGTGAATCGGGGTTTTATGGGCCATCAAGGACCACCTAGTGGGGTGGGTAGTTCAGCTGTTAAGCAGGGTTGTCTTGCACATCTTTGACCTGCCAGGGAGTAGCAAAGCTTGCTCAAAACTGGCTTCTTTGCCTCTCTGCCGCAGCTGGTCCGGGACAACGCAGATTTGCGCTGTGAACTTCCCAAGCTGGAGAAGAGGCTGCGTGCTACTGCAGAGCGTGTGAAGGCCTTGGAGAGTGCACTGAAAGAGGCCAAGGAGAATGCCATGAGGGACCGAAAGCGCTACCAGCAGGAGGTGGATCGCATCAAGGAGGCTGTTCGAGCCAAGAACATGGCCAGGAGGGCACATTCGGCCCAGATCGGTATGTGTGTGCCAAAGAAGGGAGCTACAATGACCCTTATTTAGGATTTCACTCATCTGAAGGGATATGATAGTGCCTGTGGGACTTGCAGTTCCTGGTACCCTGGTGTTCATCCTGAGAAAGCGTAAGATTCAGGTACCACCATCCTCCTGAATAGCCCTGATAGAGAGCGTTCTTCAGAGCCGTGCATCAGGCCCCAGAAGCCAGCTGTGCTGTAGCTTTTGGCTGTAAACCGAGGCACACTCTTGGAAACAGTGTAATATAAGAATATTTCCCAGCAGGACTGTGAAGAAGACCATCTGTATGGCTCAGGGAAATCCTCTGGCTTGGAAATAACCGGAAACAGCCAGGCCGGCAGCACTAGGTAGAGTGCTGTTGCAAGTTGAATGGTGGCCTGAAGTCCAAGCCTCAAGGCCGATGGAGTCGGGCATTTGGCTGGAATAGGAGTGGTGGTTGTAGCTGCTCCAATGTAGATGCGGGGCTGAAGCTAGAGGGCCTTGCCGGTGTTGTCTGGGTTGTTTTTAACTGAGGCATCCCTAGTTACCTATAACATCATTTCCCACCAGATATTGTTTTGTAGCTATATTGTGTTTCCAGTCTTCAAATCCCTCAGATTAGTGATATATTGAATTTATTGGGTTTTGTACCCTTTGAGAGTCAACTGAAAATTATAGCCTTGTTTCCTAGAAAACTCATCATAGGTGGAATTCTTGTGAATCTATAGGGAACTATGGATCTTCTCAGATAAAAACCAATGTCTTTTGCTTCTAATTTTCATTTGTTTATTTTAAATTTTCACCCTTAATAATAAGATGACTAGGGGCTGGAGAGATTGCTCGGTGGTTAAAACCTCTGGCTGCTCTTCCAGAGGAACGAGGTTCAATTCCTAGCACCCCTGGGGCAGCTCACAGCTCTCTGTAACTCCTGTTCCAGGGCATCTAATGCTTTCACACAGACATATATGCAGTCAAAACACCAACGTATATAAAATACAAAAAAATCAAATTAGTAACAAAAAGGAATCTTTTTTTTAAAGAAAAATTAAGATGATTACCATCTAAGTTCTCCCTGAGTTATGTGGATGACCTTGGTTTTCTAACTGTACTTCTCAAGCCAGACATGCTGTTCCCAGAAAGGTCTGGGGGTAGATAAACAGGGCAATGTTGATAAACATGCGACTGGTCGTCACCAATGATGTTGTCCTCTCTCCTTTCTCTGGGATACAGCCAAGCCCATCCGCCCAGGACATTATCCAGCATCATCTCCAACAGCTGTCCATGCCGTCCGAGGAGGAGGTGGCTCTTCAAACTCCACCCACTACCAGAAGTAAATACAGAGTGAGTTCCTGTAGTCTGGGTATTTTCTCTTTGCAGCAGCCCCAAGGCTTATTTGGAGGCAGAATCCTCTTGGCCCTCTGGAACCCTACCCGAGCCTTCAGCCACTGTCTTTAATAGAGATAAGTTTAACTCTGTTCCATGAGAGGCCTGGGGTCCAGGTGATAGAGATGAGGACCTAACTTTGCCAACATAAAGTGTCGTAGGGTCCTCTGGCCGAGGGTCCCTGGGGATGGCACAACCCCAAGCCAGGCCTGGCCTAATCACCACTCAAGATGATGACTGCCTCATCCAAGCTTTCGTCTTTGGGCCTTCCCTTTATAGCTGTACCTACAAAGGGAGACAGAAATAGGGGGTGGCTTTTAGCCTCTGGAACAGAATACAAAGAGCAGGTGAAAGTCCTGTTTTTATACTTTCTGTGAGCCTGGACAAACAGGGTTTTGAAGAATGTGTGATTTATATGCAAGTGGGGTTAGATCACTTTTTCTTTGAGACAGTAGTCTATGAGCCCCAGTTCCTGAAACTCATATGCTCAACTTTGCTCTGACAGCAAGAAAGGAAAAGTGATAGGCTTTTGAAAGAGAAAAAGGGGGAGCCTAGCCTGTCTTAACAGCTTAATAAAGAGGTTCCTGACTGGGCTGGCAGGTGAGCAGTAGAGGGCCTGAACACTTGGCTCAGAAAAACTCGGACTTCGAGTGTGTAGATGGGAGGAGATAATTCTGAACATGGGCTCTGAGCCCTCACTAGGGAGGCTGACAAGGCAGGTGAACATCGGTCAAGTGATGCCTTGATGATCGAGAGCAATTGAGGACTACCCCAATTTATTCAGTCCTCTTTCCATCAGTAGGAAGCGAGTGGTGGGACCAGCATTGCTAAGGTCCAGCTGAAAGAAGGGTGCTGCAGCAGTGTTACACACATAGCAAGGAATAGGCCAGGGCCTGGTCAGGCGAGCAGGAACCAGAGGGCAGGCCTGGGCAGTCTGCACTGGGACAACACATCAGCAGTGTCACCCTGTCTTAAATGAGTTTGCCAGTGAGACACCCAGTCTTGTCCAAACTGCTTCCGATTTGAAATAAAATTAAATTGGATGTTACCGAATTGTTTTTGATTGCATGTTGTCAGTACTGAGGAGGAAATCTGAAAGGTGGTTATTTTGAGCGGGTTAGCACAGAAAAGCCTCAAATTCTGGTGGGGGCTGGAGGTGGAGCACAGGGGTGAGGCATATACTTAGCGTGTATAGGACCAGAGTTCAGTACAACACAACCGTAAGAAAGGTGCCAGGGTAGGTGGGTGGAGGCAGCACCTTGGACAATAGTCCAGGCTACTAATGGGGCAGGGCTTACCTGGGCCTCTCTGTTTTCACCAAGAATGGCCAGTGGTTTTGATATCAACCAAAATCTAATGCTGCTGCCCTGTAGTACCCAGGGCTCATGTGTAATTGCAGTTTGTTTCTCGTGGGAAGGAAGCATACAGGCTAGGAATAGTTGTTAAGTTCCACAGAGACCACAGAAACTCAGACAGGTAGACTCAGTCTTCTGTGGGGGCCTCCTTTTCTCAGGGTCACCTCGTGCTCTCCAGAATGACATCTGTTAGGCTTTCAGCCTTGTGCCTTCTTTCCAGGTGTATCTCAAGAGGAAGCCAGAGCGAGCCAAGGCAGCACTCCTGGCCACAGTAGCCTCCCCTGGGTATATTGGTGTCCCAAAGGAAAGTTAGGTTTTATATTGCTGACCTTAATACCTGTAGAGACAATGGGGAAAGATCAGTTCTGGCTCCTGGTTTTAGAAGATAAGTGTCCTAGAGGGGAAGGTGGTAGCAACAGCTTAGTTCCTGGTGACAGGAGTTAGTGGCCTCCACATCATGTTGGACCAGGAAACAGAGATGGCAGCAGGAAGCAGGAGCCAGCGAGAGCTTTCAGAGGCCGTACCTTCTGACAGTCCACGGCCTCTCCAAATAGGAGAAATGGGAAACAAGGGTTTCAAGCATGAGCCAGGGAGGAGGGTTTAGACTACAACAGCTTTTAGGAGGATGAGGATGGATGGTTGCAGTAGATGCTTAGCAGTCCGAATGAACACCTGTTGCTCAGCAACAAGAAGGATGGAGAGTGTCGTTTGATGAAAGCATGCTGTGAGATTTTAGCTTCCAACAATTCTTGGTAAATATCCTGGTCCAGGGATTCCAGACTATGTAGCGAGTAGCCACCTTCCTTATGGAATTCAGTGAAGCACTGCCGACCCCCCTGAAGTCCAGATTGACCTGGAACTCTATATGTAGCCCAGTCTTGCCTTGAACTCACAGCAGTCTTTCTGCCTGAGCCTCCTGAGTATTGGCATCACAGGCGTGAGCTACCATGATGGATTTAAAACTCACATTTTGCATAAGGTGTGCACAACCCAAGGTTGATCATTTTTGCTGCTGGTGTGGCATCTTATACTGAAGACTGAAAAGCCAGAACTTCTCAGACAAACATGGTGTGGTGCTCCACACCCTTAACCTCAGCATTCGCCATGTAGAAACAGGAATATCAGAAATTCAAGGTCATCCTCACATCTTCAACTATATATTGAGTTCCAGACTAGCCTGATGTACAGAAAGCCTATCTCAAAAAGAAACAAACAAACACACAAACAAAAAAACAATAAAAGTCAGGACTGATGAAAGTTTCAAGAGAAACAACTGTAACACTTCATTTCTTTCTTTACTCACTGAGTTACAAGTGGTTTATGATGACTTGAGCTGAAGTTGAAATCCCTTAAGCATACTTTATCCATCTAGTTCCCGTAGCTGGGTGCTTTCTGTATGTACCTAAGTTTCAGGCACTTCCTGAAATTAGTGAATTATTTACATCCTAAATGTTAATGAGCTTCCTTCCAGGATGGAATGTTTTAATTTCAGAGGAAATTGTTACACAACATTCCATGCCTTCCTCTGGCTTTTAACTTTCTTCCTATACTCTTCTATGATGTTCTCTGAACCTCAGAGGGGGTGACCTAGATGTCTATCTAAGGCCAAGAATTAAGCTACTATATCACAGCAACAGTATGTTGTTCTTAAGAGCTTCACCAGAGGTTATGAGCTTCTGTGGTGTGCAATCATTCAAAAAGGAAGTTTCTCTTCCTGGCCAACATCTGAGAGCAACAGTGATCCCCAAACATGTGCCCAGATATTTAGAAAGCAGTTTGACAGGCACATTGCACCTATTTAATAATTAGGTGCAATTAATTAATATTAATAATATTAATAATAATATTTAACGGCAGCTGCTCTTCCACTGGGTCCTGTGAACATCTCCAGGCTCAGATTTTTGTTTTTGCTTACAGTACCAGAAATGTATTACCTTCTATAGAGTGGCTTTAAATCTAACTGGAGAGTAGTTGGTCATACATCAAACCATCTATGCTACCATCATACCTGTAGTCACATCTTGCTTGGCATTTTGATAGTGTGGCATGAAGGTAGGATTGTTGGTGATAGTTTTTCCCCAGCAGCCTGCACAGCACCTCTCAGCATCATGAAAGCCAGCCAACAAGGGAGGAGGTTTCTAGTTCAGTCCCAACTCAGTTTCTCTGTTTTATAATCGATGTATGCATCATCTTTGCCAGTGAGGTCTTACTATTTAGTTCTAGTATGGAACTGTAAGACCTGGGGTGTCACAGCTCAGGAGTTCAAGATCGCGCCCTTTCCAGAAACTCCCCCAGACCAAGACTCGTTGCAAAAGCAAGAGGTTTATTAACCATTGCACAATGGGGTCACCCCTGCCGGTCAGCAAAGAGTGGCACCCGGAGACAAAGGCCTTTAGGTTTTTGAAAGAAAAATTGCGGGAGATTTGAAGTTGCAGTCTTGGCAATTTAGGATTGGATGAGGAAGCTATAAAGTAAGATAATTGGTTAGTCTTAGGTGCTCAAGCTTGGCCAGTCCTGCCAAGTGTGGATGCAGCTGCAATTGAAGGTGGGGGTGGTTAGCTCATCCTTGAAGATTAGGGGCTACAGACTTTTGACTGAAGGTCAAAAGCTACTCAGAAGAAGTCTAGGTTCATTGCTAAGAAACACTATCTCAAAGACAAGGGTCTGGTCCTTCTTTTTCTGAGTGAAGGTCATTGCTTGCTTGCTTTTTTTAATATCTGTCCTCACAGATAGGGTCACATTCCTCCATTCTCTAGAAAGGTACTAAGATGCTTTAGCTTAACCTGGACCTAAAACTCAAAACTATAGGCTTTAGAAGACATATAGGTTACAAAGTTAGCCTAACCCTTTCAGAACTAACAGCAGCTGCAATGGCCTTTTGCTGTTTTGGGGAATAGGGTGGGATTATCTCTAGCTAACAACTCCTAGAGAGTTAGCCCACTGTTGTCACTGAGACTTTTTTTTTCCACTGTGATTATATAACAATATTTTGGCTTCTAGGAGTGCTCTCTTCTGCTCTTGCAGGATGCCTTCATTTAAGTTCAACAGGTGCCTTAACTGCTCTTCCACATGCTTCTATTTGTCTGTAAAATGCTCAAGAGTTGGCATTATACAGTACAACCTTTTTACAGAGTGTGGGCAGGACCGCTTGAAGGACCATTGTCATCCATTTCAAGTAAGTGCCAGTTGGTTGTGAGCAACTAAGGGCATACCAGAAAGGAAACCTTAACAAGCTCTATTACAGCACAACAAAAGATCTCAAAAAAAATTCTTCCTTCAAAATGCTTTGTTAGAAGTTGGGTATGGTGGCACACATCTTTAATCCCAGCACTTCAGGAGGCAGAGAGCAGGTGGATCTCTGTGAGTCTGAGGCCAACCTGTTCTACAAAGCTACAGGTTGACTGTTCTACAGTCAAGGCTACACAGAGAAACTGTGTCTTGAAAAAAAAAAAACAAAAAACAAAAACAGAAAGAAAATTTAGCTCTCTCTTATCTGTAGACATACCTTTGAGTCATCCAGCCTTCTCATACTGCTGCTGTCATGGGGCTGCTGTGGGTCTTTTTACCTGTCCTGTTATCGGTGAGACCAACTTGAAGGCTTAG